ATTAATTAATCTAAATAAATAGTCTTAACTTTAGAATTCGTCGAAGTCATATGTTAATGAAAAAGATATTGTGAAAAAGATAGATAGATAGATAGATATGGTATGCACACACACATGTACATGAACTCCATATGTTTGTACAGGGTATGTCAGGTATCTAACAATACGTTTAGCTGTCTATAAATGTGTGACGACCTAACGTAATGTTAAGCTGCATGCGCCAAGTTTTAACATTTTTATTTCTCTTTCAGTCGTTTCAATAGTATTAACACATTAGCTTCTAATCAGACGCAAGAAATGAAAAGGTATGCCTATGCTTGTGCCACGAGATGCCGACTAGAATGACTCTGAGATAGCCGACTATTTTATTGTGGTCAGATGAGTCGCAGCAGCAACAGGTCGACCTCCGCAAACCCAAGGGAGGTAACCAAGGTGATGCACACCAATGATGTCGTCTGTCCAGGCGGTAACGAGGGCCATATCATGCCACGCCACTTCTTTCTGCAGTACGTCAGAGTCAGTGCCACCGCCTACATCGAGGTGCTGGGCAATGATGCAGCCCTAAATCGAGGTGGTAACTGTACGTGTTCTAGCAAGACTATCCACATTACTCAGAAGTCGCTGATCAAGAATTTTCACGATCATGATGCCCCAGCATATTCTTTCCTAAATCTCCTAATTTGAACCCTCTGGACTACTACACCTAGGACATCGCTGAGCGGAAGTCTAACCAGTGGCCCACAAATCCAAGGACTCTTTGACATCCGCAATTGTGGACGTAATGACCAAAATAAATGAAAACTACCTGATTCGGAGATGTAAACGCTATCGATATCGCCCTCGAAGCTGGGGGCGGTTTTATTTAATCATTTTTCTTGATTCTTTTTTTTCATAAGTTAAAAGTATGTATAATATTTTCCATATACAGATTTTTCCTATTGAATATCTTTTTTTTCTTCATATACTTTATTCTCAATAAATCTAGCACACATTCTGTATACATAAATAATAATTAGAATGTTAAAATTAGAATTTATGTTACATAATTTCTCACAAATACAAGAGGAACAAAAAGCAAATGAATGTGAAGTCAGTAAATCATGGGAACTTTTTTTTTCATATTTTCCAATGTAAGAAATGATCGCGATCTTTGTTGCTTAACTTTAGTGATTAGATAAGCAGATCATTTCTTACGAGTTGATAGAAAAATGATTTAAGGCGGTAGTAAGTACCAGGATGGACAATGAGCTTATAACATCATTAATAATTTGTCATACTCACAATTAAAATAGTAAATAAACTTCCAGTATTTATGGTAAAATTTAAAAATACAATTTATTTACATTTTTACAAAGTTTTTGTATACAAAAGTGTATTGAAGTAGATTTCTGCTGAAACAACATTATTTGAACTGTTCGTAGCAACGGACGGATATGATATAGAGATTGTTAATAGATTTTAGAAATCTAAAATCTAATTTACATGATAATGTAAAGTACATGCATGTTGGCTTCAACTGTCGGTGATTCTTTTGAATTCTAGCCATTCCGTTTCCTTCTGTGAGTGAAGGAAGTCACTTTGCAGAGGCTGTATTGACGTGACGGCATTTTTCACTTGACTGACTAAAACCTGTTGCAAACACTCATACTGATTTGCTTTTACTGGATACAAATGCAAAAGTATTTGAATTTACTCAAACCAAAGTGATTTGTTGAAAATTCTCTTTTAATACCGCGTGATCTGTTTTTACCACGTCCGCAATTTTTTTATCTTATTTTAGATTTCCAGCTTTTTCTGGCGCCTATCGATTTGATTTGCGCACGCGCGTGTTTTCGTGTGTTGGTTCTGTTTTATGTGACTTTCTGATATTCCTCTGAAATCTTTGCACACTAGCTGTTTCAATTATTAAATTTTGAATATTACTACAATATATCCCACATAAATTTATATAGTTATGATAATAGCAAGTTATTCGTTTACCCAGAAATTATTTCTTTGAGTTATTTGACATTTTGTTATTGTTTCTATCCGAATTACTACAACTAGTAATACTCAACTTGTCAGCTAAGTCAAAATTGCATGTATTATCAAATGTTTGTCCTTGGACACTGGTATCACTCTTATATGTACATAAACTATTATTAAAATATTATATAGAGAAGTTTTGTTAACATCATCCTTAAAATATACTTTGATTTTCTAAAAGGTTTCAATCTACTCCATTATTAAATTATCATTCATTTTGATGATGAAATTTTGGATGACTACTGTAGAATTTTGTAGGTCCCTGTATAAGTTATTTTAAGGCTTCTTAATAAGATACGCACTAATAAACATTTTATCACGACATAATTTCACTTGGAATATGAGGTTTATTTTAAGTATGATAATTGCCTTAAAATCATTAAAATCAATTTATAATATGGTTTTACACTAATCATCTTCCATTGTATCAGAGAGGTCGATCAAATTTTGAGGAACGAGTTACAGCACAAAAAGGTGAGAAGCCTGATTTATTGTGCGTACTTAGTATGGAATACAATTTAACATGCTGCGAGTTATGATTGCATTGAGAGATATAATTGCTGTCTCAATTGTTATTTGTGCTGCCTATTACACTGTCGCTAGTAAGTAGTTATTTTCAATTTATGATAACTAACCATTGATAGTTCTAAAAACAACTCATTTCTAAATTGACTTCCCTTGTCACGTCATGGAGTGGAACGCAAAATTTTGAAATATATGTATTTTCATAATTTTCAGTTACTTACTAGAAAATTGCAGTTAATGGTTGAGCCATAGTCACTCGAATTAAACGGTCTATACATGTTAGAAATATTGATACGGGTTTAAATATGGACCTGGATCATTACAGGTTAAAGGAAGTTTCAATTGTCCATATATATATATATATATATATATATATATATATATGGACAGTTGAAAAATAGTGAGGATAATTCAAATTTTGAAATGGAAATCTAGTAAGTTTATTAATTTTTGTTTACAAGATACAAACTCTATACAAAACTATTTTATAGATCTATCCGTATAGTTGACCAATTGTTTTGGAATTAACAAAATTTGATGATTCAATACCAGGATAAGAAAATGAAAGAAGACTATAAAAATAGATTTACGCTAAGATTTCGGTAGATAGGTTCTAAGATAAGAAGTGGATATATCAAATAATATTTAAAAATTATTACCTGACATTAATAACAAGGTCAGTAAGAGATTTTTCATCATTAGACAGTTCCTCAATAGCAAGTCAAAGATACATATTTGTATTGCAAAAAACACTCGCAACATAAAATCAACTACTATATTCTGACTAACTCTAATACAATCATCTACCTTTACAAGAGACAGATCAGGCCGAAAATGGAGTAATTCTGCTATATATGGGAAGGAGCTGACCAGTCATCACTTACCAATCTCTATCGCTATTACCAGGAAATTACATTCCTTAGTTCCATCAGTTCTAGCCTTCACAGTTAAGACCCATCATGCCACGCACATTGTAGCGAACCAACCTCGTATTCCATTGAAGTATTCCACTTATTCAACTCAAGCAACTTCTTCCCACGAATTGCTGCTTTGTGGAACTGACTCCCAAGAGGGTGCATCCTCGATCGCTACAATCTTAACCTATTCAAGTCTAGGGTCAGACGTTATCTTTTCTTATGCTGTAACTCTTGGGCCTTGTACAGGGTGAACATCATTGTACAAAAATGTCATAAATACACTCAATAATGACTGACAAGTATCTTTGCAGATAGTAAAAAATTTGCATAGTGGTTTATGGTTTGTCGATAAAATTATGTAGCGACCTTTAATGAGGTGGAGAAAGAGAAACTACTTCGGCTGCTAGCAACTTTTTTCTCCGAATGAGAATACTTTACCTACATTATCATCTGATAACCCCCCCCCCAAAAAAAACCTAAGTGTTAACTTTTTGGAAAAATGATCCAATAGGAATGGATGTCCTATCTATTATTATAATGCTGCCCCATCCGTAGACTGACTATTATCAATGACCAGTTGATAGTCAGAGATTCCAGACAGCTAATGAGCAATGACAGATTACAAAGATGTTGCACGATATTATTAAAGGCGTGTTTTCAATATGAGATAATTTGAAAAAAAACTCCTGGAAGAATAAACTCATAATTTAAGACAGAGGTAGTACTATTTTGGCATAATTGGAGATAAGTCCGCAATAAAAACCCCGTTATACTCAAAAACCGATATAAACTCTTAGGATCTTTTGGGGTATGAAAAAAATTTCAATTCTTAGGTTTTTTTGGGGGGTAGTTATCAGATGATAAATGTACTTTTGCAAATTTTTTTTTTTCAACTTGATTTCACGTAGAATTTTAAACACAGATAGTCTATCTAAATCATTTGTATGTGCTGTTTCATCATCATTAACTGCAAAATCTATCGTCTAAATATACAAATAAACAGTCCTCCTTGGCATAAAGGGTTGGAATATTGCAGCTATATTTTTTTAATCTAAAAGGTATATAACTATATACACAGTCCAAAAGGTGTAGTTACTGCTGTCTTAGATACATTATCAAGCTGTTCTTTTATCTGGTGATATGCTAAATCTATTTCTGTTTTCGAAAAACAAAGTGTCATGGCAAGTTTAGAGGTAAATGGATTGAGATTTGCTATAGGATATCGATCACATTTCTAATATTTAGAGCACGGTAATAACTGTAGCATTGTTACTTACCGTCAGAATTTGGAACAAAATGGAGGGGATTTTTTTAAAATTGAATATTCACTTTTGGAATAAGATATTACTCTGAAATTTTAAGTTACTTAAATTCTGCTGGAGCTGCTTAAAAGTCTTAAATTTGGTAAAAAAATAACTAGATTTTTGTTTCCTGTACCACTCCTGTGATAAATTCTGCAATATTTACCAACTATGTTTCCATAAGGCGAAGTAACACTTGAGTAGTATTCCATTAATTCACATATAAATGGAAGGAGACTAACATCATTAACATTTCATTTTATCAAAGATGTAGTTACATTTACATCTTCTTTTTCATAATATTGTCTTGAATAATTTTATTTTATAATCTGCGTTTAAGTCAAACTTGTTCAAACAATCGAAGCCCCAATAAAGGATTATATTAAAGAATCGGCGATCATAAAATCCAATGAAAAGCTCTTTTTAAACAAGGAATTTAAATCTCCAGATTTGTTTGTTGTTAACATTTTTGTTTTCTCATCACTAACAAATGAGATTCCTATAGAAGTTGAGTTCTAAAATTCTGCTTACTAAAGAAAAAGAAAAATACCAGCCCCAGTGTCAATGACAAATTTTATTTTTGTAGCTCCTAGTTGCAGAACCACTTCGCGAGGTTGCTAGTCTATCGAAGCTAATACAATCCACCCAGTTAGTTTATCGCGCCACTAGGAACAAGGTTTAGTAACTGAGAACTTTTGAAGGTTACTTTACTTCTTGGGCCATATGCACCAAGATTTACATGTTCTTGTTGGTGCAAAAATTGTAAACTTTGCATATTTAGGTCTTTGTTCTTTACAGTATCTTCTGAGTCCTTTCCGTTGTGGATTCTGCGCAATGTTTTCTCTGATTTTGAATGCCTCACGCTTTGAATTCTAATTATCAAAATTTAAATATTACTACACGCGCACTTGTTACAAATTGTATCTAGAGATTTGTATGCCATTTGCTCCTTGACTAACGTCGGTTTTTGGCTAGAAATCCTATAGTTTAGTTTATTCATAAGAATCGTCTTATACAGATTATGCTTTTCCTACTTTTGTGGGTTTTGTTTCCTTATACTACTGTTGTTATTTGTTTTTCATAACTTGATAAATTGAAAGCTAGTCTGACTGATTGTTTTCATAATGCAACTTTATCTCCGGCTGCAAAGTCGGCCCACAGCGCATCCAGCCTCCGATGGCGATCGCTTTAACAGGCTATTGGATTACTTTTACCCGCTTAATTTCGTCAAGATTGTGTATACTCATGCGCGCCCACATACACACACGCGCGTACTCTTTCTCTCTCACTCTCTCTCTCTCTCACACACACACACACACACACACGCACGCACACACACACACATACGCACACACACACACGCACACATACTCTCTCTCTCTTTCTCTACCTCTATCTTACACATATACGCATACATGCCCCCTACACTTATACACGCCATCGTAACATCAAGACAGACATCGGAGCGTACATACACGTGCGTAATAAGTTTATAATTGATGTGAGTTATACATACCATTCGGTTTATGGATACAAATCAAGAGAAATTCGCTTCTTGACAATAACATAACAAAAAAAATAGTTGTAGGAAAAAATGGTAATTTTATCCAGTCAACTAACATGTGCATGACGTGAATAAATTCTTTTTAATGAGCCCTTCCTGCTAATTATATTTAGATACATAATTTATATATACATATATATAATAATGTACTGTATATACGTGTATGCCGATTAATGAATACAAGATGCGCTAGATAATTGAGAACACTTCTTTAGCAGATCATAAATAGAAAATGGACTAATTTAATGTTACGCGGTTTGCGCCTTTTTTTAATATTCTCATTTCTCTTTAAAACGCATCGAGAGCATTAACAATTTGAGACAAGAAAGGAAAAAAAACACCGTGATCGTTCTATTGACAGATATTGCAGTGACTCGGAGATGGCGAGCTTCTTGAAAATGGCCAGGTAAACAGGAGGAAGGATGGTTGGCTCTGGGCCAACTCCTCGAAAGTACACACGCTAATGCACACCAAGTTCAAGTTGTCTGTGATGGTCCTCGTGGTAGTGAGCAATAAGGACCATATCATACCACATCCAGTTCTTCGCATAAGGCCTTGCAGTCAATGCCACTGCCTACATCGTGTTGCTAGAGGGTGTCCATATGTGTTCCAGCATAACTCAGGTCCTTCCCACCTAGCTCACGTTGCCCAGTAGTTGCTGGCCGATAATTATTACGATAATGTTACCCCGACAACATGTGGCCTCCTAGCTCTCCTGATGTGAACCCTCTGGTGTAGTATTTCTGGAGCATCATCAAGAGAGAGATCAACTACAGAATTTACAATACCATGAACTTTTTGAATACATAGTGGACGTGATGGTCAACATCAACGAGAAGGATTTGAGTCAGCCATGTTGTCGCTTTAAAGGCCGTATTGAGTCCGTCCTCATAGTTGAGGGCATTTTTATGGTGATTTTCTAAGTGCAGCTTAGATGTCGCACAAGGTCAAAAGTATGGGGCACACAGTTAGGATCGTATTCACTACTTAGTAACTGAGCTTCCTAACCATTACACCACGTTGAAGTTACCAAAATACGTTTCCGAGTGGGTGGGACGTTACTTACAGTACCAGGTGTTCCCAAGCCCCCACCATCTATGTACTAACCTGGCTCGACACTGCTTAACTTCAGTGATTGAACGAGAACCGGTGTGTTCAGTATGATTTGACCGTAAGCGTTTAGGGCATTTTTATGGAATAACCTTTTACTGTTGAACCTGTTTGTAGATATTTTTGAAAATATACTGATTTCTTCTCTTGAATATATTTGTTATTCATTATAATTTCTCCTTGGTTACGTAGCATACACTGTACATTCCTACATAGAATATATATATATATATATATATATATATATATATATATATATATATAGAGAGAGAGAGAGAGAGAGAGAGATTAGATATACATAGAAAAAAATATATACACCGATCTACATATATTGATATATCCATGTATTTGAAAAATCATAAAAATGCTTTTAAGATATTTCCATATAAACCTTTTGCATTTTCACCTGAATTTGATTTATATACAACTCCATATTTCTTTCTTTCTAACGGACGTGTGCGAAGGTTTACTCTCAAGAATTCTCAGCAAACAACATACGAATGAATGTCAAGTTTGTTTATTTTTTGTCTATCTTATGTGAATCATACATGAATTTTAACACTACTTCCAGAGCAAAATAATAACGTCTTCGTTTTCGTAATTTATTTTTTTAATTAACGATATTTTTCAGAATATATTAAGCACAAGGTCACTAGCGTGAGTCTCTTACTGACTAGTAAATGGATATTTGTCCAAAAAGCTAATCATAGGCGAGTATGCTTTGTGCATTTTGGCTGTCCTTTTTTATTGCAGTCCTTAAATTTTCAGAAATAATGAATGAACGAAATCAAGAAGTATAAGAATTAATTATTTTTGCGCGTGTGCATAAAAAAACAAATTAATGTATCCATAAGTAAATATTGAATACGCATATTCGGTAGTATATATCTTCTTCTTCATCTTCTTCTTCTTCTTCTTCTACTTCTTCTTCTTCTTCTTCTACATCGCCTTTCTATCTATCTATTCTGGTACAGGAATTATTTTCATCTTTTCTCCTATATATGAGTGTCATTTGTACATAAAAAATTAGAACATTTCTTGCGAAATTTAATCATATTTACTGTTTATTACGAAAATTAAAGTACTATGCTTAACTGTTTTTGTTTATGGGATGAAGATTTTTAAATCTCAGTGTATATATGAGTTCGCCTGTTCCTTTTTTCTTTTCTTCATTATCTAGTGTCCTTATGTGTGTGCGAAAGAGAGAGAGAGAGTGTATGCACATGTGCATATGTAATAGCCAATAGCTTTGCATTATTCGGGTACTTAGTTTAGTTTGGGATAAGGCTCCACTTGTGCGGTATCCAACAAGGATCAAACTCGCGACAATAGCAATGTGTTGAGAGACAGATTTTGATAAGCATAACTTTCTACACTGCAATGTGCATTAAGCGCCTATTTAAACAGATATTATTAATTTTAGTACGACACAAGATTACATGCGCATCACTCAATGAAGATCGAATTCATTAACCATGGTCTGCGAAAGTAGCTTCTTAACACTTACTTTTTGCAGATTCATCCATACGTTTGTCTTTCTACCTCTCTGATCGTATGATTCTCTTTTCTTCTTCTTCTTCTTCTTCTTCTTCTTCTTCTTCTTCTTCTTCTTCTTCTTCTTCTTCTTCTATATGTGTGTGTGTGTCTGTCTGTCTGTGTGTCTTTGTGCGTGTGTATATGTTTTACTCTATACTTCATGTATGTATTGATGTACACGTGTCTTTATCTTCCTGCTTCTATAGCTTTATAAGTACTTCTATCACTCTTTTTCTACGCTTTCTTTCTCTATCTCTTTCTTTCTTGCAACGTCTGTGCGTGCGTATGTATGAACACATGCACATGTTCCACGCTTGACTTATTCTTTCTTTGACACACCGCCTTTGACGCCGCTATGCTTGGACCCTGCTGTTCAACTCTGAAGAGGAACTCAATGAAAGATCGGTGTTACACCAAAAGCTAAGCTAAGCGTCGGTCATACACAAACATATTTTATCCTATGTCTGTTTGCACATGAGTTTTTAACAAACCATCTGGCGTTTACCTCATCGATATTTTATTAGGAATATTTTTAATGATTAACTTATAAAATACGATTTACACTTTAAATCATTGGCTTTGTGTCATCTAAATGCAACAATTATGATTAAACTGTCTCGATTAAAATGTTTTTTAGACAAGAAATCAAACTGAGAGTTGATTTCATGATTCATGAAAAACACGATGAACAGAGATGACTGGAAAAAAGATAATATTTCGTTAATTACAATGGATTAGCACTTAAAATCCTGATAATATTTTTATTAATCTAATGAAATTTATGCGTGTGTAAACTCAATTTTAGATGTCCAGAAGATTGAAAATGAGTATTAATGTCTCAATTAACAACTGACCCATAATTTGTCTACTTAAAAAAAAATACTAACAGTACATATTGCCTCAGAAATATATTATTTGCTACTGAGCCAAGTTCTATTCACTGAAGCAAAAAACTAGAACAACTAACCTACTATTTAACTATCAAAATATAATAAATTAAAAAAAAAAGGAATACATTGCAGTGACATAGATTATGCATAAGACAAGATTACATGATTATGAATTGTAACGAAGATGCAAAAATGGTACGAAATTTCATATTAAAGTCAATAAGAAAGTAGAACTGCTAGAAGTCAATCTTTAGCTAAGGCTAAAATAAAAAAAATATTATCCAGGGATATCATCCTTCCTTAATGCGATTCATTTTAGCGATGATTTGGACTATAATTTACAAATATATAACAAAGGGTAGAGATTTGCAAAATCACGAGTAAAGATAACCTACTACATGCATATTGATGATCTCAAAATCTTTGCCAAAAACCAAAACCAAAATAGAAGCCTGGATACAAACGATGAGGACCTTCAGCCAAAAATCGGAATGGAGTTTGGAATCAAAATGTGTTCAGTGCTGGTAATAAACAATAGAAAAAGCAAAATAACAAAAGGACTCAAATTGCCCTACTACAAAAATATTAGAAAACCGGAAAGAAATATTCTGGAAGTATATGCGTTCAAACATAACGAAAAGAGCGAAAAAGTCGGCAAAGAATACCTCAGAAATTAGAAATTAAACCCTATCGCGGAACTCTGATTAAAGGAATAAATATCTAGACAGTTTCTTTTGTGAGATATTCAGAACAATTCTTAAACTGGAATTAGGAAATCTAGAAGTACAAAGATGATAATACATAAAGCCTTGCCTCCTAGCGATGATGTTGATAATTTATGTAAAAATGAGGAAGGAAGAATACTTAGTATTGAGGATTGGGTTGATTCTTCAATCATGGATCTTGGAGATTTACATAAGGCAGAATAATTACAACAGTCAAAATTTATATGAGAACTAATAGGAGAACGAAGAGAGAAGCATGAAACTGGAAAACGTTAATCACAAAATGTGCAGACAAATGTGTGGACATTTCAGAAGACAAATATTGAAGTAATTGTAGATGAAACAACATAGATATGGTTGTGAAGAGGAAATCTAAAGAGAGAAATTCAATCGGCATTAATGGGGCCTCAGAACAATGCCATACGAACCATCTATATAAAGGCCAAATAGATAAGACATAGGCGAATATTAAATGCAGATTATGATGCGAAATATACGGTATATAGTATGGGAATGCAACATGTGAGCCTAGAAAGAGTACAAAAGTAGGTATGACGATGAGAAAGATGATTAATTGGGAACTGTGCAAACAACTACAATTTGACTATACAGACCAATATTATGTGTACAAACCAGAATCTGTCTTAGAGAATAAAAAGCACACAATTCACTGAGACTTTGGGATTAAAATAGAGCATCCAATCCAAACCAGTAGACTGGATCAAATCAAAGTGAAAAAAAGAAAAAAAATAGCGAAATGGCGTATATCGCTGTTCCGGCAAAGCACAGAGTAAAACTAAAAGAAAGCGTAAAATTGCATCATTATCTGGAGTTCACCGGAGAGCTGAAAAAATTATGAAACATGAAGGTGACAGTTGTGACTATTATTGTTGGAGCGTTTGAACGATGTGGAAATGCCTATTAAAATAGAAGACTGAACACACTGGAAATCCTCCCGAAAACTCGAGATCACTACTAAAATCTGCTAAAGTACCGAGGAAATCGTCGGGGTGCTGAGGAGACTTTTTATCACTCGATTTCAATGACAACCACCTGCTATGAACATGTGCAACAATATGAAGAATCATAATATGGAAAACTGTTAATTCTTAACCTTTATTGTAAATGTTATTGATATTTTCTAAGATTGCTTTATTCTGCACTTGGCTAAAAGCAGACAGAAAAATTCTGTATTAGCTTAGTCTGACACAAAACTGTATAAGGATAAAAATCTCAAAAGTAATAATAGTGTACAATGCTAACTTGCTCTCCACGTAGTGGCGTCCATTGTAAGTACAATTTACCATTGGAGCGCCTGACATAGAATGGTGGTTATCAAAATCGTTTTATCATACATTTCATTAATGGAGTTAGTGCAATCTTCACGATGTGTCACCCTTGTGACTCTGTACCATACTAAGCTAACCACAGTAAATAAAGGCATTCATTCTGAACAGATGATGGGTGAAGAAATTCGCACTGACTTGTTTATCTTACGAGTCTGCATTTACTAGTTTCCGCTTATGACAGTTGTAGAAGCAAAGTATATCTGTACGTGTGAAAGACAGAGAGAATCGGGAGAAAGACAATTCTTTGAATGAAAGAAATAAGGGAGTCTTTGTATGTGTGAGAGAGATAAAAAGAAAGTATAAGTACGGACATGAGAAAGAAATTAAAAGAAGTCTCTGTATGAGACAGTGAGGTGGAGTGTGCATGAGAAAAAAGCATTTGAAAAAGAAAAACAAAGAAAGAGTATTTGTCTAATACAGAGGAGAGATGTAATGCGCGTTTGAAATAAAATAACGAAACGAAATGTGTAAATGTGATACAAAAAGTGAAGGAAAAGATGAGAAAAGAGAGTATGTACGTGAAAACGAGAGAAAATAATGACCACGCAAGCGTGAGAAAGGGGAAAAAAAAGAGTGCTATAAAAAGACTAAAGAGAATCTATCTGTGATATAGAATGAAAATGGGCCGAAGTGACAGAAATGTGATTCATTTTTTTCTGAGAGTGATTGAAAAAGTGAAACAATGATATAAACAAAGAGTGTGTGCGTGTGTATGTGAGAGTGAAAGACTAAGAAAGTGAAACGGTGTGACAATAAGAGGGGGGTGCGCGCATTTTTGGGATCGTAAACATCCAGGCTCCGAACATCCAGGCTCCGAACATCAAATCTATCTCTTCCTCTTTTTTTTCTTGTTCGCTGGGAAATGTTGCGTTGTCTGCTTTGAAGCAAATGCAATATATTCGGAAAAAAAGGACCAGGTCGACCTATAAATTTTTGAAGACGAGTCACAGGATTTCTAAAGACTTTAGGGCGATAAATAATAATTTCATTGTAAACGTTTGTTCATCATTTCGCTTACAAAAAAAAACAAACGGGTTAGCTTATTTGGCTGGAGGCACCGAGGATATTTGACTATAAATATAACAGCAACGAAACTTTTAAATCTAATTACATTTACCTGCTTTCTATCAGGACTTCCTGCTTCCGTCAAAACGAAAAATTACGTGACTCGTTTATAGTGAAGTACATCTACGTATAAATGTGTGGAATAAATTTGATGCACAATTTTAACACTGGTATCGGGCACCGCGTAGTAGAGCAATTTTTACCTCGTTAGTCTCGCAAAATATTACTACTGAAGTGAAGTTCGAACTTCACTAAATGCATGCAGTACTAAGCTTAGCAAATTCATTTGCAAATATTATGCTTTACGTAGAGTGACGATTAGTAAGCTAATCTGTTAAGGTCACTCACAAGAACAGTGTATTCTTTCCTCTCGGGTTGTTCTACCTTTGTGAACCTGTGCTAGATTAAGCTATTTATTTATTTTTTTAGAAATATAAGACCTTCTAAGTGTGTTAGATAGTTACGCATTTTCCTTGGCGCCAGGGGATGAGATTGAAATCTAGGTGCAAAAAAGGCTTTTAAATGCAGATATTCCATTCAGATCTGTCCTTATTAGAAGAGTGGTGTAATACGATCATCGCACCTTCATTTCTAACGATTTAACTTTATGATATGGATGCTAAACTAATAATAGTAATTTTCAATATCTTGTGTTAGCTTAGAGGTTCCAACTGGATGCCTACTCTTACGATGCAATCTTTTAAGGGCTATAATCGCAGAAGGAAATCCGGCTCTTCCCAACTAGAACCTGTGGGACCTTTTGAGTAAGTTACTGCGCTCGTGAGACAGTAAATAACAGTAAAACGATGTTGTTAACACTAAAATAACACATTAAGCATCTTATAAAGTGACGAATGTGCCAGATTGTGAGAATCTATGAACGTATGTTAGGTAACTCTGTTAATGATTCATTTGAGGCAATATTATGGCCTAAGGGACTAAGCATCTCAACCTTTAGATGGTTTGCTTTAAAAAATGTATTTTAGTTTTTCTTTTTCTTTGACATCCCTGGTAACATACGAATAAAGTTGAGTTCGAAACGAAACGCTAACTTATTTAACTTTGTATAAAATTAAAATACATTTATATGTTCTATCCCAAGTAAAAAGAATGCTAATCGAATACTGATTTCCAAAACTAATAGAGAGGCTTTTTTTATTTAAAAATTGACGCAACAATTGCCTTCTATTCCGCATTCATCTCTGTTTCTCCCTTGTATCAAACTAATATATTAATATAGGTTTAGTATATCTAAATATATATATATATATATATATATATATATATATATATATATATATATATATATAGAGAGAGAGAGAGAGAGAGAGAAAAAGAAAGAGAGACAAAGAGAGACAGAGACAGACAGAGGAAAATAGAGACACATACGTGCGTGTGTTTGTATGTGTGTAAACACGCATGCGTAGGCACATCAATAAAACTATAGCCTAATGATAAAAACGCATTTATTTTACACAACTATTTATTTTTTGAGTAACCTACTTAACTAAGTTTAATGAATGGATGGCGAAGCAAGAACAAAGATGGGTGGTAAAGAGTCAAAATTCACTTTGAGCTACAAAAACACGAAGATGTGAAAAGCCATGATCAACCACGTCTTGAAAAGAGATGGACATAAAAGATTTATTTATAGATTGAACATTATACATTGAAAATTTCAGATTCAAATTACAATAATAAACACTTTTCAGGAGTTATTGAGCCAACCTCATCTATTTATAGAGCGCCAACCGTAGCGCGAAGGTTACTAAGTTAGTCTGTTAGGTTATTATTGACATAGTAAAGAACAAATTCAATAGCCACCAAGACTAGCTTGCTAACTAGTGTTCCACAGCGAGACTCAGTCCATTAGTCATGTGTTCTTAGGTTGGTAGGTTTATCTCAGGTAAAATATAAATTTCCAAGAAACTGAAGAAGCAGCAGATTGATATAAACATGGAAAGAATGAGAAAATTCATTATATGGAAATCAACACAATTCACATCAACATAATGCAAATGAAAACTAATTAGGTATTGTAATTTTAAGATAAACTAGAGTTGAAATAGATATTTTTGGTAAGTCTAGGCAAAGTGGAAACGTGTTTATAAAATATCTGTGCATAGGATAAGGTATTCAAGTGAGGGAAATTTTGTCAGTCCTCTTCATGTTACTATTGCTTCCACGCTGATATTCGATAACAAAACTCCTACAATGGCCATTGAAGTTTCTCAAAGACAATTTCGAGTAATGATTTTGGCTTCTTTGCATCTTGAGGGAATCACTGATCAACTCTTGAATTTCCTTTAATCTATCCAATTCATCAGTTTCTCCCACCTCGCTTGCTCTCTCTCTCTTTTTCTCTGCTTTCTCTCTCGCTCTCTTTCTTTTTTTCATTCTTCATATTTCTCACAAATGCAACTTTTCATTCTTTTCTAGTACTATTTTCATTTATTTCCTTCTCTTCACTATTCTCTTTTCCTCTTCCTCACTCATTGTCTCTAAATTCACCTTACATTGGGCTTGCTTGATGATTGAGAGCGTTACACTTTTCCCATTTGTGCTAATTGTCAGTATTCCTGTATAGTTAAAATGTAATATTTAAGACAGGCATGTTCCTCCCACTTGTAATGTTGACACAACACAATCTTACATTCTACTTTTTATTTACTTTTCATATTTTTCGTTCGTGTTTTCGTCTTTTTTTTCTTTTTTGTTAGTTTTCTTCCATTAATCGTTTCCTTATCCTTTCCTTCTTTCTTGGTAATTTTATTCATTTTGTCTTTATTTTCATTTTTGTTGCTTTCTTATTAATACTTCTCTTCTAGCTTCCTATTTTCTTTCATTTCCTTGTTTCTCCCATAATAAAGTCAAACGTCCTAAATGCTCTCCACTCCACACCAGTAAACATACCCAAATGAAGATTCCAGAATTTTAGTAGAATGGCCTAAAACATTGTCAATACGCTATTGTTTTGTCTGCCCAATTTCTTAATTTCACTGTTCTGAAAAAATACGCTATGGGAAACTTATTTGTTATATTTTTATCTTATCTATGTTGCAAAATTTCCCAGCATTAGCCTGATGAAAAACGGATTTTCGCTTTTTTCAAATTGTCTTCTTCTGCAACAATTCGTCTTTTCTTAATAGTTAGCAAGTTGGTCTAGTAGATCATTAGTAGTGAGTTATATACTCACAAGGTGTCATACATTTGTGGTCTTGTACCAAAAATAATCTATGTTAAGTAGAATAATTTTATCGTTTCGGTGTGGGTAATGTTTAGCGAGCTACTCTGTTTAGTCAATAATATTGAATAGTGAGTTTGATCCTCACTGGATGTCTTAATGATTGTAGCATTGTACCAGTCTAAGCTAAGATTATTAATTTCGTATCTTTTTCTGCTGTGCTCTTTTTCTCTTAAATTTAATTTGTTTTTGTTTTTTATTTTCTTTCTCTTCTTCTTATAATTTTCACCTTCCAACTGGAATGTACACATTCAACCTTCCTTACATTTTAAGGGAATGTTTTTTTCCACATCTTTCTGTTTTCTTCTTCAAAATAATATTCTTATTTTGTTCAGCCAACTGAATGTCGCTTCTCGCAAATCACTGCCAACACCGAAACTCACTATATTTTCTATCAACGCCGCATTAATAATCTGTCAAGCTAGTTTCAAGAATAATTTTCTTTTCTTTTTCCCTTCTCTTTTTCCTGCTAGAATAATGAGGAATTTTTAGACGAAAATTATCCGCCGTTGTCTTTTATTCCAAATTCAGAATCACAAAAAGAAAAAGGAAGGAAAATTCAGATGGAATTAATAGATATCAGTTTTACTCCCCCCCCCAATTTCTTCGTGCCTTATTTCCGATATACGCTCTAAGCTACAAACTGACACACACACACAAACACACACGCGCGTGCGCTAAAACACATGTACACAAATATGTGTGTGTATGTGTGTGAATAATAAAAGTAACTCTAGAAATTTTATATACGTAACTAAATCAATAAGTCTGAACTCTAATAATGAAAAAGAAGTTATTATGCGCATTTTTTTCATTAAATTCTTCCTTATTAATGCACTTAATTTCAATGGTGAAATTTAATTCTATAGACCGAAAACTACATAGTGAAAACTTAAAATCAAAAATGAAAACTTCAGATCAAAAGGTAGCGCTACGTGTCATATATCCTCGTACATAATCTTCGGAGTTACTTTTTTGTCTGGATATAATAGTAAGTTCCAGGCTTATATATATGTGTGTGTGTGTGTGTGTGTGTGTGTGTGTGTGTGTGTGTGTAACAAGGTAGATAAACAGGTATATACGTTGATATACCGAATATATATATATATATATATATATATATATATATATATATATATATATATATATATATATATATATATATAAGAATGTAGTTCTGAGGTTGTAAGTTTTAGCTTCTCTAAAAATGACGTTGTACCGATCTTAGCTAATTAAAACTATACGTCAAATTAAATTTATATATATACTTAGATGTAATTCTGTTCGTGTACTTATATAGTGTCCAGCCTCGTAAAAATATATACCACACATCTACATAAGCATAGCTTTGTTTTCACCTCTCTCTACATATGCAAACGTGTATACACACACGTGTGCACATATATATATATTTGTTAGAGAACATATCTGTACATATCTACATACAGATAGATGGAGAGATGTGTACGTGCCTATTAATTCATAAATTCCGTATACAAATCACACTGCAACATATATACGCCTATGAAGCACCTGTCGAAGAGTAATGGCTAGCGTGTTATTCTCGCAAACCATTGCTAGTGAGGATTTTCCTGAATGCTCCATAAATAAAGCCTCATGCAAAATATCGAGATATGTGTATACAGTTCACACACACGCATGCACGTACACACGCACTCACACGTAAACGGACACAGATTTGTACACAGACGAATATAATTCTCCCACCTACACACATATGTACATACAGTTATAGGTGCGCTCGTACACATTCTAATGAGTTCTCGCGTTGTTACACGCACCTTTCATCCACCCCAACGCTATTTCTCTCCCACCTCTGCGTCTCCAACCTAAGCCGCTACCTCCTTCGCCTGATCTTTCTGAACCATCTTACTGATTATTCTTCTGCCTCTTTTCCATCTGCTGCTGTTATTTGCTGCTGTTGCAGACCCGCTTTTCTTCTCTTTGTTTCTTTTTTCGTTTTTTTTTTTTTGTTTTTTGTTTTTTTAGCGAGTGGCACATTTTCTGTGGAATTGCGCATAGTTGAGAGTTACTAATGAACTGACGGCCGGCTTTTAGGAGGAGCTCTACAAATATCTCCAGATTAGCACATAGAATCTGCTACAACTGGCTCGTGTAAGCAGACAGCTCGGATAAGTAGATAGATCGGCTAGAAAAAGTAGATAGATAGATAGATAGATAGATAGATAGATAGATAGATAGATAGATAGATAGATAGATGAACAAAACGAGATATCTATTTCCAATGCACAACTTTGTCTGACATAAGGACAGATGGTTTTTACCTGGAATCGAACACTGACTACTGGTAGTGTGAAATACGCAACGATCTCAGACACGATTTGGAAAAATACATGCACAAAGCCATAAATATAAATAAAAATAGATATCAAAGAAAAATAGGATTGTTAGATAGATACTATGTCAGATTTTATGATGCAAGTCAATGTTTTCACAATAAAATTGGTATTAACCAATCAACGAATGTAACATTTTCAATATCGTGTGAGTTTAAACTAATAATTGTCCTTATTTTTTAAAAATATTAATAAACTCGTTTGGGGACATCAAGTTTTATTATACAAAAAATGTGCCATATCAATTTTATAAATTAATAATTTTATAAAAACGGGAAACAAGGGGAGCAATAGTAAGCATTGAAGAATGCGAAGGAGCACAGCTTTAAGTTTAGCTTAGTTTTTTGACTGAAACCTTTACCATTCAAAAATGTCTTGTCCAAGAATTTACAGTATTTTTGCATTTATCTTTAACCTACCATTATCGACATAAAAAAAATAAAAAAACATTATTCCACTTCCTTTGTTTTCCTTCTAAATTCCATCCAATGTAGTTCTATATTCAACATTGAAAACTATTGCTGATAAATCAGTTTTCATTTATGTCTTTGACTAACTTACACGTTTATTTTTGCGATGTTCACTTAAAGATGGCTTGGTTGCATTCATATCTTGAGCCAATTTTTTTTTTTTTCCTATTCGATCTCTTTCTTCTGTCTACATTCACAAGACCAGTTTCTTCAAATATTTTCATGCTGGTCAGACAACTTTTCTTGCTTATTACCCTTTAAATTTTTCCGAAAACCTTTATTGTGAAATCCTTAAGGCTAAATATGTTGTTCTTATTTTGCCAATATTATTTTCAATTCATAGATTATTCTGTAAACTCTTTTCAATATTTTCGCAATTTCCATCATTATGTTTCCATCACTCAATAAATTTACAATACCTTGCTTCTCTTTTGATGTTATATTTTTCTTATGACTAATAGCAATATATATATATATATATATATATATTGCTATTAGTCATATATATTGATTTACAATATGATGACCATCAATCGACTTTTATTATAAAATCTCATCCTACCAAATAAGTTATTTTTACTATTTCTGATAATAACAATTATTATAAACTAAATTTGCCATGGTATATTTATCATATAAATATATCCTGAACATTTACTAATATCAGTTGCGGAAAACTGATTTTATTTTGAAAACATTAATTTACGTAATAAAGTCTTACATAAGATAGATAGATAGATAGATAGATAGATAGATAGATAGATAGATAGATAGATAGATAGATAGATAGATAGATAATGCGTGTGGTACAGCGAATGAGTTGGTGATGAGAAATGTTTTTAAGTGTACTTAGCTGGGAAAGATTGAATGCCAGAAAGAAAGATAGCGAGAAAAAGAGCATGTGGGGGTGATATTCTTCGTTTCTTAAATGATCTTACGGTTTGGTACATTTCTCATTCCTACTCTCTGCGACATTTGATGTCTTCCCTACTAATTAATTTTTCATTTATTTCATCATCAGAATTTGATAACTAAGATAGAAAAAAGTTAATAAAATAAGAATGCAAATTAAAGACTAAAAACTGGGTTGATATTCAAGAGATTTTTGTATGTGTATTAGGAGAAATCAAGAAAATTATTGTTAAATATTTAAAAATCTGTTTTTTCTCAGTTCATTTAAAAGCTCTTTTCGTTTTCATTTTAATTTCTATAGAAATAAATTCATGCTCAGCTCTGTTCTTCGTGCCAATTGTCTTCAAGCTTAATTTCTCTAAAATTCTTGTTTTGATTTGATTTCTTTTTACTTATTCTGTTCCTAGCTGTCTTTCTATCTAAATGAATATTGATATATCTATATCTATAAAGATATTTATCTATCTACACAAATACATACATATACATTCGTTACATCCATTTACATCAGTGATTCCCAATATGAACGGTAACGTTCCCTTTGGGGGCGCTACAAACTCTCAAGGAAGCATTAATTGTTCAGGGAATTAGGGGCACTATAATTTTAACAGGGCAATAAGTTGATTTAACCCTTTGACTCCTGATTGGAACAAGTAACAGCATTTTATATGCGCATATGTTTATAATTTTGCAATTATATTAACACTTTTAGGCGTATTTCAAACATTTAGATGCATTTGTTATATATGTATGGAGCAAAAACTCACAAGCTAAAAGTTCAGTTGATTCTATGGTTTGGCACGTTGCCACAGCTTCCTTCCAGTAACTGTCGCTGCTATAAGGCAACACAAATTAAACGCGTGACATTAATTCTGATGCATTAATTCTGTTCCCTTTACCAGTGCAATTTAAACAAAGGGAACACCAGCCCGCGCAAATACCTCTGAAGCAAAGCGCTGAAAAAGAAAAAGTGAGAACCACTGATTTACATAATTTCACCCATATCAGTATCCGTCCGTCTCCCTGTAATTTATTTGTATCTAAAGCAACATTTGTAATTAGTTATAGTCAAAATTGACATGTAAAACTTAAAACTACAATTTATTTACAATCTTACAACAAAGAGTTTTCTTTTAAACGTTTAATTTGATTTTTGTGGATGTATCTTTTCATAGTAAATATAGTCTTTTCTAAAATGGACATCTGTCTCGTATACAAGAAGTCTTATATCCATACATTTTAGTAGACGTCTTTACTCACAGTTTACAGGAGAAAAGAAAGTATAAGCGTATTAAATTTAAGCTGTCATATAGTTTCAGTTATAGGTGAGTAATTTGATTTCTAGTCGCTTTGCTTACCTCTTTGGTTAAAGGGATTTGCTTGGCGAAGTTTTGTACAGACAAGTTTTTTCTTAAATTGATTGACTATGATCTGTTGAAAATCTCGTATTGGTCTTTTTTCAAGTGATACAAACTCGAAGGTACTTGAATGTACTACGTCGGCAATTTTTTATACTTAAGCAGCAACAATTCATTCAAACATTTTTAATTAAAATCGAAGGACATCATGCCATATTATATTCTTCCAGTTTGAGTATAAGTAACATGAAATTTGTGAAGAAATTGCCTAAAGTACATAATGTTTTTATTCGAGTAATTTCGACCATCTCTGATCATTATCAGGAATATCAATGTTATGCGTCCCGTAGAGAAAAATTTTTATTAGCTTGGCATTTTAGGAACGATAAATTTATCGTTTAAATATACGTGTGTCTTATACAAGTGTCAACATGCATAGGACTGTTTCTTTTATTTAGTTCTTTTGAGATAAAAAAAAATTTAAAAAAAATATTGACAGAACCTACTAACAAGGATATTGTAAAAAATTTTTAAAAAAATGTGGTAAAATATATTGCGATTAAGATTGTTTCGTTTGGATAATGATAGCAGAAATTAATGGGGAAATTTAAGATTCACAAGACATACTGAAGCTAACAAAAGCAGGGAAACAGCGAGTAACCTACAAAACAAGTTTATGAGAATGGATGACAGGACGGAGACAAAGAGGACTGAAGATTGCATTTAAGTTTGAAACTATGTCACTATGTAGTTTTAATTCTTATACCTAGACTGTGTTTGTATCTCACATTCACTCTCTCCCTGTCTCCCTCTCTCTCTCTCTCCCCCCCTCTCTCTCTCTCTCTGTATCTATCTACACACACACATACATATATATATATATATATGTGTGTGTGTGTGTGTGTGTATTACTTCAGACGGTAGTGTATACTCGTATTTGAATTAGCCCCCCTTTTATTTTTACTTTAAACAGCGTGCATTACGTCTATCGGCAAATCATAATAAAGAAAAGAGGAACACAGGTTCGATCGCTGTCAGAGATGATATTTTCTTGATTCTTGTAATAAAAATAAATAAATCCATTAATTTTTTAGAAATATATTATATATATATATATATATATATATATCAAGAACAGTAGTGAGGAAATTGTATGACAAAGTGTAAAAGTTTACTTTTGATGTGTTTTACTTTTATCCTTCAGTACTTCATCGGACTAAATTTGTTATTTTGGTAGAACTACACATGCGCACGACGGAGGGGTGCTGAGATTTTTTTTTATTTGATTTTTTTTTATCTAGCCGAATTCATTTAGGCTCTTTTTCTTCCTATCACCTTTGTAAATATCTATTCCACACTGTGATATTAAAAGATCTGCCAGGAATGGTGAAATGTTGTAAGAGCCACGGTGAAAATTTACCGTAGATGACCTTGCGATTAAAGTACCCTCTAAGAATTTACGTCGTAGTGGATCAAAGTAGCTTTTTGTATTGACTAAGTCTTTAATTGTTATGGATGTAATAGTAACAAATATTATGTTTCAGTTTAGATAGATTCTTTTCAATTGTAGATGTGATAGAGTTCATTTTTTCATTCGTAGGATTTATCAGGAGGGGTCTTTTTTTCTGTTTTTTTTTTTTTTTTTCGGAATATTTTATGGGCATTTTGTTTCACATTGAATATAAAATAATTAGGGTACTGGAGAAGGAATACGAAACAAAAGAATAACCTAAAACCTGAAGGAGGAGTTTACTCCATCGCCTGCAATAATTGTCATAAACAATTCATAGGATAAACTTCAAGGAATCTAAATAAAAGATTATATGAACACAAAGGGGCCATTTTACAAAATAATACGTCAAATGTGTTGGATAGATAAGAAAAAATTCTAAAATTCCCAGCACCCCTCTGTCGTGCGCATATGTACCAACATAAATTTAGTCCGATCAATCCTGAAAGACAGAAACTCTTCACAAGTAAACTTTTGCCACTTTGTCATACAATTTTCCCCAATATATACATACATATATATATATATATATATATATATATATATATATATATATATATATATATATATATATATCAGTTTTAATTTCTAATTTGCTGTCTTTACATTCATATTTATCGATGCATATATATATATATATATATATATATATATATATATATATGTATGTATACACACACACACACACCTGTATAGTATATTTGTATATCTTCGATAGATAGATAGATCTTAACATAATTCTTCTCTATATACTCATTTCTTTATTCGTATCATAAAATCTAACATTCTTCGCAACTCAGCTCCATTAATCATGTTCCATATTTACAGAAATACGCCAGAAAAATACTTTATCTTGTCATTTTGCAAGTACAAAAATTTAGTAAAATATTGATCCCATTAGAATTAAACTGAACAGATTTCAGAAGATTCTATTTTTCTCGTCACAATAAAACCTTGATCAAACCATATGAAATGAAAATAAAGAAAAATCAAACAACTTTTTTTAATCATACTCGTAAAAAATGGCTATTTGTATTTTCTTTGAAATCTGCTTTGGAAAATGATTACATTTTAAAGCTGATAATAGTTTCCTTAAATTAATGCGTTTCTTTAAAAGGGTGTAAAATTAAACTGTGTTAATGTTTGTTTTGTTATGAGAATAACTAAACAAAATAGCTATTTAATTTTTAAAAAATGAGAAATATCGAAGGAAATATTTACAAAAAATGTCCTTTTCTTCAACTTTCTGGAATGTATTTTCCAGCTAAACATTCTTTTTCAGGTGTAAAAATCTAGTAGAATTAAAAATTGAATTAAATTAATTTTTTTTTAAAGTGTAAAGTGCTTCAAATTGGTAGAGATATTGTTTCTGTAATCATCTAACTCAGACTCTTCCTCAGGTTAATTTCTGAAAGGGTCGAGGTGCTTCTACTCAGCACCATAAAATCATTCATACAGAAACCATACAAAAAAATGATACGGTTGAATTGGAAATCGTTGATTTTAAAGAAGTGTAAATAAAAATACTATTGCCCCCGAAGGAAATTTTGTACTTGTAAAATCCAGTTCCCTAATTGATAGAGATATCAACAACTCCCATTGTTGAGCTGTAATAATTATATCACTACTCGATGGGGTCACTGCGAAAGGACCCCACAGTGTTAAACATCTTTGCTTTCTGATCTTCTACGTAAGAAAGGTATCAGGCGGCGTCGTATTTCCGGAAAAGATCTTGTTGTCTGCGTACGGTGGGCGAAGACGAACGATGAGAAAGGTAGTGGGTGGGGTCACATGACTGAGGGAGGGTGCTGAGAGGGTCGGGTGAGGACGTTGAAAAACGGGAGCAGCAATAAGTGTAAATATTTGGGCTTCCGTACGAGATTTGGGTGTGGGAGAAAAGGAATAAGAGAAAACGAAGCTAAGCGCCAATAAAAAAAAGAGCAAGAAATCAAAAATAAAAATAAAAAAGAAAGTGTTACCCATTTTACCACCCCCACTCGTCTACTCTTCTTGAAGTAAGTAGTTTCAAAACAAGAATTGTATACTAGAGACCTGACGCCTCGAACATCATCAGTCTATCCATCTAATCTGTTTGGCCCGCAGACACACGGGCAATTCAGC